AATTTAAGTGATGAAAGCTTTTATTTTTATCGACTGCGATTTTAGCATAAATTTTTAAGATCAAACTTACTTAAAAACTACATCTTCTATTTCGGTCACCGTCACACCAACACTCTTTAGAAAGACATTAATGAATTCAGATTGAATCGGAAGAGACTGAGAGGTGTCTTTTGACTTTGTAGCTCTATTCCTCCTATTTTTTCCACCAGAACTGCCACCTTGTGAAAATGATAAATGTATCTGAAAAAAAACCTTGTGTGACTCAGTATGAAAAAATAAAATACTTCTTTAATGATGTATCCTTTGAAGAATATGCTAAAAAAGACTGTTAGTAGAACACCAAGTATAACCGATATTACATATTGATATTGAGCAAACTCTTCGATAAAAATAGCTTGACCAAAAGTGCAATATTAGTTTTCATTCCGACAACAGTAGATACCAACCATAAGAGGAGAAATATGTAGATCTTCGTAATAAGATGTTTGTTGAGAAGCTGTAGTCATTCCTGCAATCGCTGCTAGCTGATTTTTTGTCATTTCGAAATCTTTTGCAAAAGCTTCTGCCTGCAGTTACAAAATTAGTACCAGATCAATTCACCACGAAATGAAATTTGATATGTTGCATGGGAATATTTATTCCTGCATAAATAATAGATGCACGAAGCACAACACAAACAAAATAAAAAGTAACTGATGTTTTTAAATAATCTGCAATAAAACTTCAACCGTGTATGGTTTACTAGTAGCTTCAGTAGATATCATCTCTAATATTGCATTCACGAATCCCTGATCAACTTGTACTGAGAATTCTTGGACAAGAAAATGCAAATATTTTATTTGAGCAATCCTACTGTGTTCTGATTCTCGTCTTATGAAACTCAACTCCGTAAACGGTTTTGGAACTGAAAGTTATTTTATAAAATCTAATTCATACGATAAATTTAATTAATAAAAAAGATGAGATACTATCATTTCAGCGTTCTCATAGAAATAAAACCGCAAATTATTCCGAGAATTGAAATTATTAGACAAAATTTTGGCAATGTAATGTTTTAATCACCATTGTCTTGAACAACAGATTTAGGAGGCGGTACAACGGAGAGTACAGTAGGGAATACGCATGCTGGCAGTTGGTTATCAATTTGTACATGATTGAGCTAAAAAATAACGTGCAAAATGATGGAAACTGACTCATGAAAAATAGAACACTGCAAAATAATTAATATTTTAAACATTAATAGCTACTAGATATATAATTAGAGACATCAAGCAAATGTTTGAACAATAACTTAACAAAAAAACATTAAGTCAAAAACTTTGACGTGCCACTAAACTGCTATTATTTAAAGAAAAAGAAAAACGAAGATTAAAAAAGGAAAATTGTATTTGTAAAACTGGCAATGAACACTTAACAGGAACCAAACTTATGGTGGAATAAGTGAAAGAAAAGAAAAAACATACTTTCATGTGGAAATGAGTCTGATGAGGCGTTCGTCTATATTGCATCCAAACCCCAATCTGAAAACGCCGTCGAATGTCAATCTAAAAATTCGTCATTATTACATGAGAAGGATGGAGCAAAATAAGGACACAAAAATCAGTAATGTACTGCAATATAATAGAAGGCAGTAATGATTTATACACAAAAATTAAATGAAAGACAAGTTTTAAAATTTATCAAAAATTACTTGATCTTTTCGTTTTTTTACTTTCATATGAGTGAAATCAATTTCCAAATCATCTACGACGACTGGTTCATCTGAAGAATTTGGAATCCATGTTTGATAAGCAACCTCGATAGCTTTCATTTGCTTAACAGTGAATGGCCTAGAAAGAGAAAAAGAGCATTATGTACTGAAATAATGACGTAAAATATCAACATATATTTCATGTAGCTATCATTTTTTGAATCGAAGTTGGATGCTACTCACAAATATCGATTATTAATCTTTGAAAACTCTATTTTTCTTCCTTGAAACTTGCACTATCTCCGACTGCAACATAAATTAAAGTCGCACCACAAGTTTTTGCTTTGTTCCAACATGTTTCCTGAGCTCAACAAAAAACTACTTTTAAAATAAACTGGAGAACACAAAAGAATGTTATATTTCAGATGGAGAGACTTCCAAACATTAGGATTTACAACTAGTTTTTAAATAAACAGCGAATAAAAATGCTAACTTAAATCGACTTTTGATGAACTGCTCCCAAATAATAGCCGACGAAGCTATGCACATATAGGCGATTTCTTCAGTTTTAAAATTATCCACTATTGAGACGCCAATGCCTTGAAGTGATATTTCAATCGATACTGTAGGAAGCTCAACCTCGTAAGCTTCGTGTGCATTTGTCATTACAGCCAAATCTTCTGTGAACAAATATATTCGTTGACGTCCATTTAAAAATGAAACCTATAAAAAAACAAATTAAAGAGATCATAAGCAATTAGAGCCCCAAAACTTTGAAACTGCAGCAAAAGTAATGCCTAGTAAGAAGACTTAGATATTGCTTTAACTGTCGTGTAAGCCTCAGCAAAATTATGATCAAGAAAGAACTTTATCACATGCTTTCCTAGTTTTTTGTCATGATACTCAATTCGCTGAAAACAAAGATTAACTTTTTCACTCAGAATGCAACAAAATTCAAGACAGACTGAACTTATTTCTTACTTAATTTTGGAATAATTTCTCACTTGAAACATACCCAATAAAGCGGGCTAGAATCCGATTTCGAAGTCCTGTAATCTTCAAATGCATTTCTAACCAAATCATCAGAATAGCTAGCATCGCCACTTTTCCAATCCAGTTTACGATCACGAGTTACATCCATCCACGTGAAAGCACAGCTCTCCCAAGGACCTATTATTTTTTTGGATCGGGAACCTAAATAGAGATTGCTTCAGGTTAAAAAGAATTAAAAAATCAAAGTCATCATAAAATTCGATGAAGAAAATGCAGTAAACCAAGCTACCTTTTTGACCGAATTCCACAGATCTGTGAGTAGCATTCATTAAGATTGCAGGAGCCATACCCGGTTCAAATGTTTCAAGTTTGATGATTGACGATGATTCTCCAACCGTTACAGTTACATATACACCAAGATACTGCAAACTGCGATTTGATTATTCCATTATTACAAAACAAAGAATAATGATTAGAAATATGAAAAGTAAAAGATTTTCGAATAATAAGATATGTGCGAACATCATTATCAATGTGACAGAACCCTTCAAAAGTTTCACTGATTGGAAATAATATTGATTCTTCTTTGGTCCCAATGTATCTGGCAGTAGCAAACTTTCGACTATCTTTCTGGGATGAAGGCCAAAAACCAATACACTAAAAAATAATTTAACATCCTGAATGCAGAAAATTTAAATTACAAATTGAAGAGAATATCAAGCGATGATCGAAGATGTTGAAGTCACAAAGAAATGTAATTATATATAAATTTTAAATTGAGAATTATATAAGTAATTAATAAGTAAATAAAAATAAGAAAAAATTATAACACGGAGCACTTACTGTTTTCGGTGTAACTGAGGTCCATGTTTGGGCTCCAAACTCTCTTATCTCGAGTGGGAAATGGCTCTCATTATGAAGCAAATAGAATGGCAAAAACGTAATCACTTTTGTCAAACCCGACTGACACAAACTTATTTGTAGAGAAATACTTAGCTCAGTACCCGTTTCACTTTTGCAACTAATACGTCCAGCATTTCCAACAGCATCTAGTGGAAACTCATTTGTCCAATGATCTCCAAATATTGATAATCTTGCCTTGAAAATAAATCGACTTCAGAAAACATTTTTCAAGAGAAAAAATGGTTCTATAAAGAATTATATTTCAGAACTTTGTCTACATATTTATTTGGAATTCCTCAACAGTAAAAAATTACTTTTTTCTTTGACAAAAAGCTATCAGCATCCAAAGGAAGTAAGGCTGGCTCGCTGAAAGGTTCCTGAGTTATCGTACTTTCACACTGCAAAAAAAACATTTCTGGAAAAATAATATCCAACCAATTATATGCTCCAAATAAATTTCATTTACTAGCATACGGTCTAAAACGAGTAAAACAGAGAATAATTGTGAATATAAATGAAACTCTAATCAAATCAAACTTAAGTATTCCGGAAATGAAATTAAAAACTGGAAATTTAAAAACTTAAGAAAATAGTAATTTTTCGCTAAATTGAGAAAGAATTTGATTTAATTAGAGTAAAAGTATGAAAATTGAAGTTCAGAAGGCACTGCTGGTAAGGTTCTGAGCAGTGAGCACCACTAATTTTTTGCTAAATTGAGAAAGATAATTAGCAACGAATTGCAAAAAAAAATTTGATATATATTTCGCAAATGACTACTGCAGTGAACATTGAGCAATCTGTGTCTTGGGAATTCATAAAGTGCGATGTGAGTGATATTTAATAGTGCATACCAAGTAATTATGCAGTTAAGAAACAAAACAACGAATGGTTCTCGAAAAATTGCAACTGACATAAAGACTAAACAGTCTATGATAAAGATGTGTGCAATAGGAGGTTGAAGGAGTAAGGTAGTACCTGGCCTCTCATTCCTCCCTTGTGACATGGAACACATTTCACAGTCTTTTCAATTATACCTTCATTGCTTTCCTAAATATTTTCAGAGATAAGATCGAAATTTTAAAAAAATGTGCCTAATACATGCATACTTTTTTCTGTGGTATATGACAAAATTTACAATAAATAAAAATGTGCATAGTGATCATACTAAGTAGCGTTTCACCATCAGTAAGTTAAGCTTCATGCTAATATGGCACAAGTTGGTAATCTGGAAAATGGCATAATACTCGAAAAACTACAACTTGTCAAATAAAAGATATGCAAAGTAAGATAGATACCATGTTTAAAGAGAAATTTAATAACAGCAATAACTGACATGCTAATTCTTGAAATTTAATTAAAAAAATGTAAATGTAAAAAAAATTAAAAAAAAATCTTACCATAAATTTTACAGCTCTCCCTGTATTATTCACAAACCAATATGGGGCATAAACTTCTGCATCAAGTTTTTGATGTGCAATCGTCCAATGTACGCCAAGGTTCCAAAATAGAAAATTATGTAGATGGAAATTTTTTACTTCAATTCATTTATTAAATTTAATAGAAACTTCATTCAACGTTGACCACAGTTTATTTTTTTAGTAAACAACTCTGCAATTACTAACCAGACTTTTGTCGCCGGAAACAAATGTTATTGTCATTAATTCTTGGTGCTCTACAGGGAATAACATCTCTGCTTCATATAGGTCATTGCGATATGTTATCTTGAAACAAAAACACTTAATGAATTACATTTAAAAACAAATTTTGATTAAATGACGACTACCAAATATAAGCCCTGGTTACACAAAGGATGTAAGTCCGAATTTAGTTTTAATATCAATGAGAAAAACAAGAATTATTTTTAAAGGAAAAATACAGCAGTAAAGATGCCTCAAAATTGATGTTTTGTCCAGGTATAACATTTAGTGATGCTTCTTCACCACCACTTAAAGTTTTTTTTATCTGAAATTATCTTTATGAGCTATATAAAAATTTTATTCAAGAATTCTAAAATTGACAACGAGATGCATTCCGTTCACTCAACAATAACGCTGACCACGGTTTACTTTTCTAGTAAGCAACTCTAAATTATTAAGCAGACTTTTGCCTCCGGAAGTTCTTAACCACATCTTTAATTTTATTTCTTATAATGAACCTTATAATACATTTAAATATGATTTAATTGGATGGTGAGAGATATACACTAACAGTACATAAAACAGAGAATTTATTTTACAAACTCGATAACATAAAGATAAAATATTCTTACCGGAGAAGTGATTCGCAATGGAAAAGGTAAAAAATTGTGCACGGTTAGAGGTGAAAAAATGTGCACTATGTAACTTCGATCATCCAAATCTCTGCTTCTTTCAGCCTTTAATGGTACTTCTTCTACAACCAGAGCTACAAATAGGCCTTGTTTCATATCTTCTGACAGGTCGCATCGCACGACGTAACGTGCTTTATCTTCAAACTTAATCCAGCACACTGATTCGTTACTCATTTCGTAACTATAAAGACAAAAAACTTTCGATACAATAAACAGTTGCAAAGATCTTTCAATACGATAAAACAAATTGAAAAAACAAATCCAGAAGCAAAAAAACGTTTCAAGTGAACAAGGAAAACAAACGCATCGTCCAGATAAGGTCTGAAGAATAATTCATTTGTAGCTGTGTACAACAACGGTAAAGCCATATCAAATGGTTCACCACCTGTCTTTGCAACACCACAAAAATCAAGCCTTCCATCACGCAAAGAATGAATTTCAAATGGTATATCTGAGTGATTCACGAACTATAACAAGAAAACATCAAGCTAACATTAATTTTATTCCCTATAATGAGCATAATAATAATATTAAAATATGATTTAATTGGATGGTGAAAGCTATAAACAAATGATTCGATTTGGATCATTTAACAGAGTGCACAAGACAATAAACACTTCCCTAACTTCAATGGAAATAATCGATTTTCGAGAGCACATTCGTAACACAAATTTAAATGAATCATGCGAATCATAATTTAACATTAAAACCTGCAGAGTAGAGTGCAGATAAATAAGCCGCCGAAGATTTTCCACTTTTGTTTCTACTACTATCTTCCAGTGCTTTCCATCATCAGCTTTCAAAGGAAGTGTAAAAGTTCTTGACTCTGCTCTCATTATGTTTACCTATATACAGGTTTCGACAAAAAATTGAAATAACTGTGAAAGTCCTAGAACTACAACAATTTAAAAACTGACATAAAATTACCATCACGACTTCAGTATTTAACATGAAATCAAAACTGACAGCTCAGCTTTGCGGCTGTTTTTATCTCAAATACACAAGTTCAATAAAAATGATAAATAAGCATTGAAGAATTAGACTTACATCTCTTTCAGTATTCATTTCATCAAACATGAGACGAACTTCTGCTTTTTTCGACGTCTGACTTTCTGTCAAGCCTACTTTTTCACCAGGGTCAGTGGGAAAATCCAGATCAACAAAAGTAGATGCAGTAGCATCGACAGGTTGACCATCATTGTTTGCCTAGAACTTTATTCTAAAATACGCAATGACAGTCAAAAAGTAAACATTAAAGATAGATTTATTTACATTTGGATAAAAATTTTATATTTAGTATCCAGAAAAATTCGAAAAATTTTTGTTTCGACAGCTTAATAAAATAGTTTCAAAAAAAATATTGAATATCTTACAATCATTGTCTCCGTATTCCCGACTTTCACTGCAATGCCAGTATTATTGAGTATCAAGTATTTACTGCTTCCTGGAAAAGTTCGTCCCTTCGGAGGTGAAATTAATTTTGCAGCTCTTTCAAAAGCATCGACAAGTTGATGTGATAACAAAATTAACGATTTTGTTATTGTTATATTGAGTAATTCTGATGCCTTTATATCAATTGTTTGTCGAGATGCAGAGGCTGTTTCATTTAAGGACATTTCATCTTCACTATGAGTTCTTAGCTGAAAACTTCCAACTTATCATGCGGACAAAAAATAAATTCATATAAATTTATCAGATCTCATAAATACCTGCGTCAATAATTTGAAGAAAAAAAGTGGCTGATGAAACAAAAAGTATTCATTTCGAGTAACTCAAATATTGCTAAAAGCATCATCAACATTTTGGAAAGAAATATAAATTTCCGATCACCTCAACTTTCAAACCCCAGTTTTGCCACACACCATCTTCTACTTCAACAGGCTCTACTATAGGTTCCCACATACAGAATGTTTCATTATAATATGAAATCTGAAACAAGTACACTTTCAAAATGTAATTACTGAACGAGGTCTATAACAAAATTGACATAAATTTAAAAATATGTAAAGTATTATCAAAAAGTATTCCATTTGTTTCATCTAAAAATGTAAAATTGATGTACATCAACTAAAGAAAACAGAGTTACCTGCATACGTATATCAGCATCGACTGCTAAGAGAAAACTCCATTGCGATGCCTCGATTTTTGCAGAGCTTTCTAAAAGCACCATTGGTATTGTTTTATTACCCACTCCTACTTCCAGAGTGACAATAAACGAATTCATTGTAATGATTCCCTATAAAATTGGATATATTGTTGACTGCAACTCGGACCTGTTTTTCGTCAAAAAATTTAAAATAGCTACTAATATGCGGATAAGATCAAGTGGCCGCTATTTATAGATACAAGAAATTAAAATTATTTCCAGTAAATTTTCAAACTTTGTTCGTGAAATTTATGAAAAACACCAATGTATAATTGCCTCTTGCTTATGACCAATAGTAAGAGCAACATCCGTCGCATATTCAAAATTTTCTTGTTCTGCTTCCCGTACTAGGAACCACCAATGCCTACTTTTGTCAATTTTGCGCTTCTCCCAGTATTTTGGATACTTTTTGAGTACTGGCTTTTTTGTAATAAACTGATCGCTCTGAAAACAAATTACTCAAAATGAAATTTCAGAAGATTAGATTGTGTATTATTACTAGTTTTCAAAATCTGAAAATCATTCATTTGATAAATTATACACTTCAATGGCGTATTAATCTGAGTTCCTAGCTAGCAAGTTTTGGATGACTTAAAGTCACATAAATTAATTTCTAGAAATATGTTCTAAAAATATAGTATAAAGGAAAGTCAACTAACTCAGACTGATAAAAGGTTACCCTAGTACTTGCTGCTGATGAGAAACTTGAAGAGACAGCACTCAATAAACGTATGATTGCGGGAGATATTTTTAAATACAGTGGTCCAACACGAAGAACTAAATTCTCAGATTTTGATTTTCTTTCCGTAGTCAATTTAATATCAATATCTGTGCGTTTCAAAACCTAAAAATAGGAAAAGATGAGATATTTCTGAACAAGAAATCTGCAACTGTCACAGCTAAAGAATCTAAATAATTCGGAAAACCGAAAAACTGACAACATAACTTGATTAGTTATAAATGGAAAACATAAGAACCTGATAGGGATTTTGATCACGTTTTGACTCCAGATAATAAGAACTAATTATCTGTAAATTTTTGATGCCTCCAACCACAATCTGTTCTTTGTTATTCTATAATCAAATAAAATTCTTTGTAAAAGAAATGAAAAATTACAAATTTGTAACACAAAAGAAGTAAAAATGTGAATAGTATCAAAAAAAAGTGTTAATGAAATTCACATCAAGGTAATGACATGAACTAACAATGCCCCAGAGTTAAAAATCAAAAGACCACAACCCAAATCCTTCACAATTCCGAATCTCAATTCGTTCACAGTTTGCTCACAAACAATTTGGTTTTAAAACTGACAGTGCATTGATTCTAAAAAATAATCAAATGAAAATTACAAAAACCTTTTAATCAGACATGAGAATAAAATTAAAGCCATTACCGGTTCTGCTTTAAGATCAACGTTAAACGACAAAATAAGAGCTTGTGATTTTTCGGGATTTACAGCATCTTCAACAAGAATGATTTCTGCTTCACGTATGGTACAGTTCATCGTTAGTGTGCCTGTACAAAATAAGCTGAACAGTACTTTGAAGAAATTGAGGGAACGCTTTAATAACATTCGCTAACAAGACATGGAAACTGAGAGAGTAAACAAATTTGGTAAAGAACTTTTGGATCCAACAAAAGTCATCAAAAGGGTTTGTTTTAAATAAGATATTTGATTATGGACAAAACATGAGAAAAAAATTTTTAAACAAATCTAAACTAACCAGATGACGAAACCATTCCAGTTTTTTCCTTGTTTTGAGCAGTACTTGGAATATTTACCGCCTCCACCTCTTTCGCTAACTCTTCAGGTGTTTTTTTTACCGTGAAAAAGTTTAGCAGTGCTCCCAAAAACTCTGGACACAGACACAAAAAAAAAGCGGACGACGACAGACTTACTGCAAGTTTGAGATTTTTCGATTTATAATTTTTTAAGCGTTTAACTTATTTTTCATATTAAAGCGTTAACAACAGCTTATAAAAAGCAGTTCAAATAAGCTACAGATCATCGGCATGAAAATATTCAGTAAACAAAGTGACAAACTAACTAATTTTATCTCCTGATGCATTAGTTTGAAATCGAGCAGCCATGAATTCTTTGTGGATCTTCCCAGCACTGTCAACCTATAAATCGACATACGGCTGACTTCATAAAATTAATTTCATGAACTAATAAAAGAATAAGATCCCACATCGGTCATGCAACTGACATTAAAGTACTTACTTTCAATGATGGAATCGTTATGAAGAGTTTGAAATGCATATTGCATTAATCGCAAAAATTCCATTAAATTAATCATAACAATCTTCTTTGTAATTTAAAGAAAAAAGCAAAAAAATTTTCAGTTGAGTTGTGAGATAAGATAATGCAAAAAAATATGCGAAATGTAAAATACAATACCTTCTTATCCAATAATCGTCGTATTTTGGTTTTTTCACTTCTTTCGTCGTTCATAACAAATACCTCTAAACTGACAGCGATATCCAAGTGACCATTTTCTGCTACTGAGCCACTCAATTTCATTTTTTTCAGTCTAAGTGCAGCAAAACCTGCCTCCGTTTCTCGAGCAATAATACCTTTTGAATTTTCCTGGATAATCATAACAAATCATACAAAGAGTAAATTTAAAAAAGTAAGGCAAAATTATTATTGATACAGTTCAAAAGGGATTCAAATGCAAATTGCATTTTTTTTCTTTTAATTATTTTTTCCTATCCTCAAAAATGTATGTATACACAGAAAAACTGAGCAATAAAACTACTGTCTCCTCAAAAATATCTACCTCTCTTCCAAAATATTTCTAGCAAATACAATAAGCAAAATAAATGAAAAATCCTAAGAGGAACTTACTAAATTCGATGAACCTCGATACAAAAGAGCAGCTATTTCGTCCAATTTGAAACTAAAGACAAGAGATTTTGCTTTTGAATCACTTTGTGAATCTGAAAGATCCTTTTCTTTTAGTTTGTCACTTATTTCGTGCTTATCATCGTCTACACTTTTCCTTCGCACGTTTAGAGGACTAAGTGATGATGAAGGTTCAGCTGGCAATTCGTTACCTTCTGCCAAATTACCAGTAAGAGTTCTCATGATTGTTGCATAATCTTCTTCAGTCATACCTAGCTAGAATATACGTCATTAATAATAAGCAATGATCTCAATACTGATTAGCTTCTAAAACACAACGAAAATATCGTAAGGATTCCAATACAAGGAATTCGATGGTATTTATTCACGTAGTTAAATTAATTTTCCATGCGTTTTAACTCCTTTCAGATCTAAAAAATAAGTAAAATTTCTTTGTTCTATGTATTAAACAGAATTACTTCAATTAAGGGTAAATGTGCATCAACAAGCACTTGAGGGGCTGCCTTATACCACTGAAACGACAGATTGCGATAAATTAACAGCAAAAATGTTATCGGCTTCAATATCTGACAGGCTGATACAGTTTCCAAATTTTTCTCCGAAATAAGTGCACTGAAATACAAACTGTATTGCAATTGTGATGCCTAATCAAATTTCAATACAGCTGTCGCAGTTAAGACAATCTGTGACATGAAGTGCCTTTCATACTTAATTTTAAATTTTAATTCAAAAACAATGTTATAATGTACAAATAAAACGGAGGAAATTGCAAATAAATATGTTAAAATACAACAACTAACATTCCAAAAGAAACATCTGTCAAGTTGATTTGCATTGAATCAATAACTGCTCTTCGTTCATGCTGTGCTTCAGATAGCGAGTTTGCAATAGTAAGCTTACCTAAATAGTAAAATAGTAAAATATCGCTGTTCAAGAAAAACTTTAATGAAGTTGAATAATCATCAAATATATGTTTGCGTTGAATTTCTGCATTACTACAAAAAATTTACGTTCATTTGTATCACACACAATTTTCAAGACTGTATATAAATAAAAACTATCATGTAAGCCGGAAAATCGTCTAGTCAAGTCTTTTCATACTATTTCTCTGATAAAAATTAACAAACCAAAATCAACAATGAGAGCATCCAACGACATAGAATTTTTTGGCACTAAAATTGTAGGTGCTGCAAGTTCAAAATCAATGCCGATTCTCAAAGGCGATTCTTCCATTAAATCTTTAAGCTTCTGAGCAGCTTGAGAAGCTTTCTCTGTTGCGTACGACTGTGCTTGTGCTGCCACCTGTGCAGCCTCAGCTTGAAATGGCAATGCAAACCGCTAAAAGTGAAAAAGTATCAGATTTTCTGTTTTAAAGGTTTATTTTCCAGAACTGTTAAAACAATTAAGCAATTAAAATTCCTGTTAATTATAAGCTGAATGGAACATTTTTAAGAACTTATAAATATAGCCTGAGCTGCTTATTTATATTTTTTTCACGATATGACTTTTATAGAGAATTAGCAGCAGATGGAAGCTGACCTTCATTCTTTCCAACCAAAGAAACAGAAAGACGAAGCGCATCCGTGCGAGACGACCTTTGATAAACATATCCAGATCAGAGGGATGCATTTGTTTTTTTTCTGATTCAGTGCGATTATACTGTTTAAAAGTAAATGATAACATTTCATTTTCTTCACCACATAATGCTAGCAAATGTTTGTGAACTGTTGTTCCTGTTTGGTCGTCCATAGTGATTGCTTTGACTCCACCTTCCACTTCCACTGTTCTCTACATTTTAACAAACATAATTATTTCTTGAGTTCACTCACCGAGATATCTACATGTACCAAATTACCGAAATTTAAATGGGCTTTTATGCAAGCAACAAATTTAATTTGTTAGTTGGTTCCACCTATGTACAATGTCAACTGCGCATGTTTACTTGATATAAGACAATTTAATAACACAATTTATTCATATATGACATGATAAAAGGAATAAAAAAAATCTAACCACTCGCATTGTTAAAGCTGTTTTCACTTCACTTATACTGAGAGTTGTATCCAAGCATTTATTTGAACCAATGTGGACTGATAAAGCGTCAAAAACAGCAGAAATTTGCATTTTGATGATAACATCATCATATGTTTGGACAAGTTCTCTTTCGCGTCTTATTAGTCTTAATTTAAGAGATTCTGTGGCTGGACCAGTAATACTGCAATGGAATGTTGATAAGGCTTAGAATTTCATAAAATAAACAAAATCTACAAGTCCACAAAAATGATACCAATCTTCATGGATTTTTTATACAAAAAATATATTAATTTATATTCTTTCAAGTGGGGTCGGATTAAAAGAGGATATTTTTTGTGCAATACCTTCAAAGTTCTAATAACTAAGCAACCCTCACTTTAGAATACATGGTAGCTTCACGAAAATTTACTGCATGATAATAAATAAAAAACTAATAAACTAAAGAAAAGGGACATTTAGTAAGATTTTTGCATGCTTAATAATTGATAAGACAAGTAAAAATGATAAAAAAAGTTCCAACCTTTGCTGACTTGATGCTCGCCAAAGCGATTTCTTTTCAACTGGTGTAGGAGCATCATTACATGAAATTCCTGTATTTTCATGAAATTCTGGCTTTCCTTGCTGCTGCAGTTCCGCAACTCTTGCTTGGAGTGTTTCAAAATACTTTTTTAAGCTCATTAATGCATCCTTAAACATGGAGTGCAGGTTAAAACATTCCCCGTCATTTAGAAATGAATAATATGAAAAATTTTTTCGTTCATCTCTAAAAAGAATTTATAAAATATTTGCTAACTATAAAGATTAATTATTAACCTGATGTAAAGCAACAATTAATGTTTTGAAGGAGATATCAATCGACTGCTCCACAGATTTGTACTCAGTTGCGAAGAACGGACTTTCCTTATTTGCCTTAAAACAAAAAATGAAACACTCAATGAAATGTACAAAAAGAAATAAATATAGGCAATTTTCAATGACAAAAACAATTTCTGTGTAAAACGAAAGAATTGATGACCTGTACATATTTGAATTGAAGTAAATTTTCATCACTGCTATGCGCATTATCAATAAGAAACAGCGTATCACGACCCGGAACTAAGCTTTTATATTGTGGTTGCTCGATTTTTAAATCACCTAAATATGCCACTGCAACCATGTCGAAAGTACGCATTTGAACACCGCAGCCCAATCGCCTAATCTCAACTGATAAAAATATTGTATTTGGAGTACCAATGATTACTCGAACCTGCAATAAAATTGCGTCAAAAAACGTTTAACATTTCTAATTTTCCAGTTAATAAACTTTTAAATACTATAAAAGAATTTTAAAAACTAATAACATTCAAGGTATGCAAATTTATTCGAAGCTTTTCATGATGAAAAAATAAAAAACAACAAATAATGACTTGGTTCAACGTAAGATTCATTTCAAGTTGAATCTGTTGAACATCAGTCTTTTTTTCTTCCAGCAATTCAGTTTCTTTTTCTTTGTAAGCCCCAAAACCTTCTGGTGTTTCCGAGATTTCATCTACTTCCATTATAGCATGGATCTTGGCCATATCTTTCAATTTCGGCTTCTCAAACTGAAAAAAGTACTTCTATTTTATCCGTCTGAAATGAATTAAATAAGATTTCTTTGCTTTAAAAAAATAATGAACACTGAAATATTAATGCAGTCGAAATGATAAGCTAAAAATTCTAAGAACTATGATAAAAAGACCTCAGCAGGCGAAAAAGTTGTACCCAATGCATCAATTTGCTTTTCAGGAGCAGGAGTTGGTATACTTAATACTAGTTTGACAAGCTCCAATAAACGTTCATCTGAGACCGTCATAATTATATCAGGCAATTCTCCCATTATTTTGATTCTGAATTATATATGAAACAGATATCATGATTTCATCCTTAAGGAGTTCCAAAACGTATTTAGATTTACAGAAATTAGCGTGACTTCATCATGTTGTATTTCAGATATAAAACCTGATAAATTAATGAATACCAGAGTTACACGCTAGACATATTACTGTGAGCACAGACTTTTTTTTATGACCCCCATTTATGAAAAACTTACTTAGGTAATTGCAAATCATCGATGGATGATTTGTGAAATGCAATATTCAGCCCAGTGGGATGTAACAAATGAAAATTCGATTTTGGTTTTAGCTTAGCATCCATAGAATTTTCATAATTATCAGCAAATATTAATTGCATGTCAGTTAACTTTACAGAAAATTTGTCATAAGCACGATTTAATAACTGTAGTCGACGCTCTGTTTCCTATAAATAAGCAAGTATGTGTAATAAATGATCTTCTTTTGCTATTCGCTATAATTTTAATTGCCATTAAGGTCACAAATACTACAAAATTAAATCCTATACAAAATTATCCCCAAAAACAATTAATGAAAAAATTTACGAAGATACGAATGCTGATTTTAAGACTAATATTACTTAAAAACTTTTCACTAAAAATACATATGATAAATTGCATACCTGATGTAAATAGTTTAGAAAAAGTGACTATTTCCAACTAATAAAAATAAAATGCATACTTCGTCACCGGTTAACGACATATCTGCATACGAATCGTCATCAACAGTGGTAATGGTGAGCAAACCAAGATCAGCAACTAAATTTCGCTTATTCTTATCAAATATTCCGTTTTCTGATACTACGATCGTCAAAGGAGCAATGCGAATATCAAGCACTAATTTTGTTCTTGTTTCAACAACATGGGCAAGTCCAGTGAGAGAACGAGCTTTAACATCTTCATACCGCGCCATTGCTGCTGCTGTCAACCTGAAAATAAACTTATCAAGTTGATTATGTAATTTTTAAGCTGCGAAAAAATTATATTGCTAGATTTATTCATGAAAAAAGGTTCTGAGCAACAAGATCACATTTTATTTGATTCACCTGACTAATGAAGTTTCCTTCATTTAAAATCTAAAAAACTTACTGATTTAATCTTACACTTTCCGGAGGCCTCAATGCTTCGACAGCAGTATTGATAGCTGGAGCATGGTACTTCATAATTGTTGGAGCTAATGCTACTTTTATGTACTGATCATATCCAGCTTCATCCCGATTTAGAGGATTAGTATCAACAATCACGGTCAACCAGTCAGTTGATTCATCTTGCATAAATAAAACAGGCTGTCCACATCCATCCATAGTCACCATTTTTATACCACTTTTAAGGCTATAAAAATGTGAGTTACTAACTATTCAAATTTTATTTTCAGTTTTTTTCCACAGAGACATGATTTCGTAGGTTCTTAACTTAATTTAATATCAATATTAATATCTATTTGTAAATATAATTCAAAAACTAATCAAAGCAGTTACATTTATAATAAAATATATTATTTCGTTTAAAACTATTTACTGACTTGATAGCTTGAGCTGATGCTCGATGTTCTATTTTCGTCGTAATTACTGAGAAAGTCAAGGTTAAAGCATTTTCGATAACAATCATAACTGATTTCACATCAGTAATAATAATATTTTCCACAAAATGTTTCGGATAGTCTGTGGCTGGCGTATTTTCCTGAATAAAGAATGCCTTAATAACTTATTACTTCCAGAAAACCAATCGATATACTCAATCTTCTTTGAAAGAGTGAATAAATTAAAAACCTGATAATCAATAGCCTCGAATAATTTCGCTTTCTCTTCTGGGGTTAACGCTTCCTCAAATTTAGTCACAATATCTCCGGATGAGAGCGCGTTATTTCCTTTGCTTTCTTTTGCATTTTCGCCACCACTCCACCTGGGAATATAATGATTTTTAATTTCTAATTTACTCATCTTTTTCCTCTCATTTGATATCATAATGATTATTCTCAAGTTTCTGAATTATGCATACAAATGTATTAATACTGATATTGAATTAAGTCAAGAAAATGAGTATCTCACCAGCTTTTAGCCCAACCTATCCAGCCTTGTGGTTGATCTTCTAATCTTTTTAAACAACGTTTATCAATTTCCATATCTGCTTGTTGTCGAGCAACATTTAAATTGAATACATCAAGTTGGTTTTCAGCCTCCTAAAATATAAAACTTTTATGCTTACATGCTTGCCTATTCTAAGAAAATTTTAACCTGATAAATACCTAACCCCACAGTCATGAACAAGTTATTAACACTAAAAAATAATCAAAATTTATTTTACCGCCTAATACATGGTATATTAAATACTGTTTTCTTATTTAAGTAAACTATAAAAGAATTGTTTTGTTTAAATTACAGAAAAATAATACAATATTTCAGCAAATTCCCTTGCATTGCTAATCACAACATTTTGAAACGCAGAAAAATGCCAAAAGCTCATGAAGAAACAAAAAACTTCCTGACTTCAATAACAATTTGGTCCTTGGAAGACAGATTCCTTTCCGTTTGTTTTTTAAGCCAAGCTTCTCTGTAAGCTCTTACTAAATTTCGATGTTTCTTCATTCGTTCCCAGTTCCAGTTATTTCTTCTCCTTCTGACATTTTCTTCTAAAACTGCGTTGTAAGCAAAAAGCCACCTATAAAAAAATGTGCAGTTTCAAATTACAAATATTTCTGTTCCATTAAAACATAAAATCTAATGCAATTTTTAACTTTTTGTTCTGGATTATCTCAAAAAAAAA